ATATATATAGTTTTCGGTATAACAACAAGAAAAACGAAAACAAACATGATGTTCAAAAGCGACTTAAGATAAAAATTATAACTCATATGTGAAGGAGTCATTTAGACAACGAAGCTGAGAAAAAATGTCTGTCTTGCAACAGAATAGACTATATGACCGCGCAAACATCCTCGAAAGACATTAGTTTATGCTGCCTTATTCTTCATTATAGTGATGATAAGATATTTCAGATTTTGCAAACATGGGTTGACTTGGACTTTGAGTCTGGGATGACAAACGTTGGCAAAAAAATTACATCATTTGTCAGTTGCATTAAATAAGTGGTTTATAGGTCCTATGCTGCTCTATAAAAAAAATTCCACGGTAAATAGAGAAAGCACTTCCAATAGCAATTAATTGGCAATTAACCCCAGAATTGAATGGTGCTTCATTCCTAAGCATAGGTTCCGTCGTTTAGAAAAATGGCTGCCCATCAAGCCCCATCTTCCTCCAGCTACAATTTAGGATAATGGCGACACAATATGAGCAGCTGTCTGATATAGACATTAAAATCAATAGCCTTCCTAATAAAGTTTCCATCATTTCTATTAAAAAAATCTGCAAGATGAATCTTTATATAAAATACGTCCAAGTTGTCTTCATTAGGCAAATCATAGCTATACCTAACAGCTATATTCACTTATACTTTTCTAAGCTCAGCTTTGGGTGCTTGTTGAGGAGAGCGCATGACGATCTAGAAACCACTAAATACAGTGAGACTTCGGTCTCTTTATTCGCAAATCTAACACGGATTTGTCACTGACTATTGATATAGTTAAGGACAGTTGAATTTGATCAGAAACGAACCATATTTTCAGGACAAAGCTTCGGGTTAAACCCTCTTGCGGGGGTTTCCCAAATTAAACCATATGCGCTATTGCAAAAAAATGTTGATAATCAAAGAACGACTACGTTTCTGTATAATCAGTGAAGCACCTTTGCTGTTCCATCCATTCGGCTTATGACGCTAGCCACTTAAATCATGTTGCGAGCCCTTGGGTAGCAGCGCCTTGTGAGCTCTAACGAACAGCTTCAAAAGTACCTCTAACAGTTGGAAAGGAACTTGCGTCTGGCAAAGGAGATGAACTGTAAAAGCAGAAAACACCGACATACCGCATGGATGTATGCGCGTTACTGCCCACCTTTCACTAAACTGGCTTATATTATTATATCTCCTCCCACATGGAAACCCCAACAATTTGTTACGGACAAGCAAGGCAGACTGTTCGTTGTTTCAAGTTCACAAAAAAACTGTCATTATAGAGTAGTTGAATTTTACCTATTGACACCTTCTATACTCTACGGATGTTTTCTATTCTATCCCGGAACCCTAAATATGGCTGTCTACAGCTTATTCAACTTACCGAAGGATAGCTGATTTGCAGGAATCAAATACGGGGTCTTTGTTTCATCTGGCCGACCCTGTGTTGGCTGGATGAGCTAAGCAACAAAAAAGTGAGAACTAACATTGATCTACGTGTATACTTAAGGTTAGTTAACATCTATCTACAGAAGGTGGTAAATGTTATACGAAGCTTCGTAGTAGAACATACAAAACTCGTACGGAAATCTCATAACGTCTTGCGCAAAAATTGTAAACCTCGAAAGTATACTAATTATGAAAAAGTGAATAGAACTTAACTTATCCATAAAATTTATTCCGCTGTGACAGAGAGCGCACGGTTGTGCACGTGCCAGTTCATGCTTACTTTATAAATAGGCCGAGATATTTATGGTGGGCGTTTGGATAATGTATGCAGGTTGAAAAACCCTCTACAGAGTATGTGAGCCGACGAAATGGACCCTGGTTTTCTAAGTACTTCACGTGCATACAGCAACAGCGTAAAAACAACAATTCGACTTTTGTTCGCAGTGTTTCAGCCAGTATTCTACGCTCGTAAGTCAAGAAAGCCCATCGTGCAGACTTACATCGCTGATTTTAAAGCTTGCCTCTGTAGACCGGATACGATGTTCGTGAAAAATAGATTACTGTCAATTTCGCCATAGACATCCTGCCGGCGAGGACTCGTTTTCATCGAGCGTTGATGATGATACCAACAAAAATAATCACATGGGTTAGATCCATGTTGTACCATATATGGATGTAGCTGCAGATTCGTGAGAATACCTTCAAGGGATCTCCTTCAAGGTACTACGGTTTTCGTCCATACATCATCAAAAATCTTACATGGTTACAAAGCAAGATATGTTAACAGGTTTTCTATATAGAAAACTATCTACCTTCTATATTTTCTATATAGAAACGATTCTCTATATAGCAAAATAGGCACAGGAAACTTCCCTCATCTTGAATCAAAGTAGGAAAAACAGTAACATGCATAAATTATGTTTAATTGTGTTTAAAGTACCACTTTAAACTATATTTAATTAGAGTTAAACTTTCATAGTTTTTGATCCCAGATTGTCTATACCTTTTAGTTTAGTAGGGTTGAGTTTTCAAGAAGCGTACTTGAAAAAAACATTCGAACTCTAGCTCTACTGTATAATGGTTACAACAAATGGACAACAATATGCCGTTTTTAGTCTCATAAATAATATACATATGAATGGAAAATACAGAACGTTGGCAAGGTTTACTTACTGAATAAATTACCTTAATTCAATATTTTCCGATGCTACTAAACAAAATAGCGATTTGTCAGCACAGCCGTCTAATTCGTAAAACCTTCGCAATCCTAGTTCGCAAATCCTAGTTTCTACTTCAACCCGTATGAGGAAGAGATTCTTCAGAAAAAGTGGGAAACCCATGACGGAATGAGCTAATTTTGAGTCTTCCGGTGATACTTTGCTGTGATACGCTTCTTGCCTATATTGAACATATAAAAAGAAACTGTTATCTGTTGAAAGTCATGTTGCACGACGTCGAATTGCGGTTCACTCCACAAATTCCGTTGGAACGACTTTGTTAGCCGATAATATTACCTGAACTTGTTCACGCGTACAGGATCACAGTGACACGAAAGAGGTTTTACATTTTATGTAGGAACAGCTTGTTTTTGCATTACCTTCGATGCTAAAGCATGCAAAATGCAATGCAAACAGAAAGCTTGTAGTTAAGTAAGCTGGCAACAGATAGATATGAGCTCAGTTTAACGATCAGCTCTGCAGAGAACAGTTGCTAAACAGATGGATGACATGCGCAAGGTTTAGTGCTGGTTCCATGTTTTAAAATTAGATTGAGCATCGGTGTCGTAACGTCATGAATAGATGATTCAACAGGAATAACAACAGCTTTCCATTGATATCTGATGAAGCAAACCACGAGATGTTCGCATTCAAGCTCGTTTCGCCTACTCGCAGCGAGCCACATCAGCAAAACAATCTGGGAAAATGGGAGAACTGACAATTGTGAACAGAAAGACGGCCGACCCCCTTCATGACTTATGCTCCGAAAACCTTTGGCCTCTGAAGTCTGCTTAAAACTCTCTTGCGGTATGTTTAAACGTAAGTATGAAAACTTCAGGGAGGAGACCACCCTTCCTGTTGATTCAGATAAATCGATTAAGCATACGCAATATGACTAACTCTATCATTGTTGTTGCTTAAAGAGTGGTATGTTCAGATCCTAGCCGTTCTTCAAAACAGTGCAGTATATCTGGAAACTATTCGTATATAGGTATAGAGATCATAGGTTTTGAGAGATGTTCTCGCTTCTGTAAAATATGAAAACTGCAATGGTCTGTAGCAAGACGTACTTCCACGCCTCCAAGCGCATGAGGTTGGCGAAATTGAACCGAAGGGGTATGAAATATAAAGAGCAAACGCATACGTAAAATATCACTATGGCTGTACACTAGAAAATACATTTCCGCTGTGCGGAACGTCACTGTTTTTATAAAGACATTGTGTTATAAGCTAGAAATTATACGCTTCATTCTTTGCGATACTACGTCTGGCGCGATACAGTGTCTTACCCTCAAGGTCATGTCATTTAGCAGACTCTAAACAAAGATGAATCATCATAAATATGTGTATTGTTAAGATATAGAATGCTAAAGACGGGAAATTACCAGCATATGGACGACTATCTAAATGTAGTTTAACGATTCATAAAAACCAGGTCACACTTTTATTAAACAACAACAACTCTGACAATCTGTGGTCGCGCCATTTGCTACCTGGTCTTTACGCTCGAGTTATGGCTCGCCCTGAAAACGTAATAACTTGTGATATGTCCATGATATCTGCATCTGCCGTTTTTCAGTATCACCGTGTTATTTGTTCACTCCCCGTTGGAGGAAAGAGGTTCATGCTTTTGTCGAACATGACATAACCTTCAATGTTCACGATAAAATCCGTTAAGAGGTCATGCTGTAGTATTTTATTTATTCATTTGAATTTACTAATTCAGTGCGACGTGCAGATATAAGAGAGGCTGACAATGATGCTCCACCAGGAAGATTCATCTTCACAGCCTGAGTGTAATACATTTTCTATCGTTGCGCAAAAAAATTACCATAGCGTACATCTGGCGGAGTGCTACATGAAAGAACACAGACCGTATGAAATAAAGGTAAGCGGACAAAGACCCAAACACTTTTCGATTAATCGCAGTCGTAGGCGAAATAAGACGTAACGGTAATACAGTACGTGCAGATTAAACTATTCTTAGGTCGTTCGGCATCAAGTGTGAAAGGCATGCGTTTTATGTGTCAAGACGACACTATTTCTCGACATTGTGTTTTTGTATTTAAAATGCACTTGTGGTCTCTGAAATCTAGGGCCATTTACGCGAATGTTGTCGCTCAGCCTTTCAACAGGCGAATTGTCACGAGGCATGAACATTCAAAAATGCGCGCGCTTTACGAACGTTAGCTTTATGTTCAAATACAGCGGTGGAAATAGCTCGTCATATAAATTTGTTATTGTCGACCGCGCTTACACTCTGCGCAGGACATCGGACACGGGATCGATTACTAGCTGGCGTTACCATACGTTATTGGTGTGACTATAACTTGCCCTAGCTACCATCTATATGAGCCGCACACAGCCATATGATTATATAAGACGGCGCACAAGAGAGCAATCGTGGCGGTCAGCTGAATATAACCGACGATAAAAGACATGATAAAAGTTAAGCCCCGGTCAGTAGTTTGGGCGCCAGGATGCGACTAACCCTTCCATTGTCTACATCGTTGTATTCATTCCCGATTTCGGAACTTGTCTAACTCGTTAGAATAACTTACCAATCATTTACCTTATATTCGATGAAGCTTCTACCATTAGAAGTAACATGATCTGTTGGTTCAAAAAATTTCGGGAGGGAAATTTTCAACTCGAAAATAAGTTTAATAGAAGACCTACCGCGAAGCGAGTGTTGAGAGGTATCGAAGAAGCCGATCTATCTCAAAGCGCATGCGTGTTGGCGCTCAGTTTCGGTCTATGTGAAAATGCTTTGCTTGTTCTTCTCAGGCAAATTAACCAAATAAAAATATCAGGAAAAATGCCTGCCCCTTGATGATTTGAATGAGGGTCAAAAACAGAGGCCTAGAAACGCTTATTTCTTTTTACTCTAGCGCTGACTTGTAGTTAAGATAGATCCTCTATAATGATCGTCAACGACGGGCGAATAGCATTTAACCGGAAGGACAGTAATGCGTATGTTGTCCATTAGAGTTCCATGACTCCTGATTTTCTGACTACAGCTGAAGTGTACTACTAACTTGGGAGAAGTTTCATTAAGGACCCAAGTTTAATGGACAGAGACACTCGACCAGTGGCACCCGACAACTTCACCTCGCAGGCATCGCGATGGCGAAAATAAAAAAAGTTTCTTTCTCATCCGTCATACTCGCTAGACATTGCTCACATTGATTATTACTTTTCCAAAATATTGATATCTTCGTAATAGGAAAAGTGCTCAAGCCTCGACATGAGGTAGAATCTACTTTCCGATACTTCATAGACTCGCGAAGCCTATACCTCTACAGCGACCAAATAAATTTAGGTTAGGTTAGGTAACAATGATGCATTTATCTATCGGAAATAAAATAACTCTACTTACGCAAAAAAGTTTGAAAAATTAAGGATAACCATGTCACGTTTACTGTGATCATGGGAACGTATTAAAAAATTATGCACGGAACTCCACTGGGGCCTGCAAGCGAGCATAGTGTCCAATCGCTATGAACCCTTTTGGAAGTAACCGCTCATACGATTTTTTTGGAAAGGGCCTTGATAACGGTAGTTTCGCAGCTAGAGATGGGTTGCTTTAGGGCTAATTCCCTACTTCTAAGATCAATGCAGTTAAGGCAAATGAAAAGCTTATAATTATCCATGATTCAACGGGTTGACCGCACTGTTTGTACCATGTTCCCTAAGGTTCTCTCCTAGGCTTCGCATGCCTTTTTTCAAGCCTCAATGTATATACTCAACTGTCTGGAAGCGCAGCAGCCGATATATGGCTATAAAGGATTCTTTGTGTGGAAGGTGAGAAATACGAGTTGGCCTCGCTATAAATGTGTATCGTGCAGCAACATTAGATTAAATACAAGAACATCTTTCCGGGAAAAGCCTGACGGCGTTCTGTTAACTAGAAATGTGTGATTTTGCATTATCTGTTTCAAAAACAATATTATACTATAAACAATTTCTTAGTCTTAGAATTTCTCTAGTTTTAGTAGAAAAAAAAAGCATCATTACTACTTTGTTGAAATAGTAGACCGATAGTTGCATTTTTATTTATTGAATTAACTGAATGTCGGCCACTCTGCCGATTAGCGATGTATATCAAAGACGCGCAATCCGTTTATGTATTTTTGTTATGAACTATAGATCAACGAACGCGCTCCTACAATTTTTCCTACAATTTTCACATCTATTCTTCCGATTCAAACACTTACCAAAGTGCTGTCTTGACCTTAACAACCTCACCGATAGGACCAAACGCCTATTCCTACTCGTCAAGTGATTCTTTCGTTCTGGGTCGTTATGATTTGATATCAGTTAGCAACGTGTGTCAGCCGCATCGCGTGAGTGGCC